GTTTGCAAATAAACTTGGACAGCTGAAGCAAAAAGCCTTAGAGAATGAGCTCTAGACTCAGAAGGTTTTTTTTTAATCAAACCAACTGGTTTGAAAATATATTTGTAAACTAGAAAGTAATCAGGAGACAAAACAGGGTCTCTGCATCAGCACAAAGCAGTGTCAGCAGTTTTCTTCCAAGAGTGATGAACTTAATTAATCTCAAGCATCTGCTCCTTGGTTGCTCAGAGCCCTTTGCACTGTGAGGACAGTTCAGACTGCAGGCTTTCCCTGTTCAATCTCAGACCAGGGATGTTCACAATCTGCCTCATCTTTGGAAATATTTTGTACCATATTTCATGGTTGTCCCTGGCTATCTTGTTGGTAATGGCAAATGTGAAAAAAACCCTCCGGTTTCATGATTAAAAGCAACAGACCCTGTCCCTATGAGAGGAATAGTGTCCTGTMTTTGCTAATGAAATGTGCTGTTCGAATGTCATTGCCTGTTTGCTTTTTAGAACAAAACTATTGTTCTAAAAACCAATATTATATTGAAAATATAATATTGTATCTTTCATATTTCTTATGAAAACCACTAGAAGAGATATGGCAAGGTCTCTCCAAGTAGCAAGTCCAGTTTTCTCACAGTTGTTTTGAAATAATGCACATCTCAAAATGTCACCGAGGCCCTTCCCTCCCCAGGTCCCCCACAGCTCCTGCAGACATAGAGATGGCTTTGTACAGATTCATTTCTCTCAGAGATCTCCAAACAGCTGAAACTAAGTGTTTTTCCCCCTCCCAGGACATGCTCTCTCTTGAGCCAAAGAAGCTTGACAGGACTGCAATTATTTCCCTTGCAGATGATTGCCTCTAGAGACATTAGGTTGGGGGAATAACCTTCTCTGCAACATTTAGATTGTGTGTTTACATTCAGCATTTTAATRCCCTGATATTTATTTCCCTTTGGTCCCACATCCCCTCTTCATGCCTAATTTAGTGTGGACAAGACAAGCCCCAGATCAGAGTTAAAGAAGCTCACTTTAGGTAAGATGTGATACTGGTGGATTGGTGTGATGGAGAGCAGAGATGGGGTTGTAGAAGATGACAGAGATCACAAGACTGGAGAAACCCATTAACTTTCCAAAGTGAGAATCAAAGACCAACACGGCATTTTCAGCTCTAACCAGGTGATTCAGTAACTGTGAGATCAGCCCTGCCTCTGCCTGTGCCTGCCCAGGAAGGGGCATTCCTGTGGCACATGGATCTCACTGCTCCTTTCCTTGTCTGCTTGTGAGCACAATATAATGAACCTAGAATGTTGTATTTCACAGACAGAAGAATAAGCACTCATTCTTYATAGATGAGGAAGGGGGAAGAGAGAGAGATGCATAATTACCACATATGCCTCAAATGCATTTAAATGTACAAGCATATGCTCTGAAAATTTAAACCTTCATTGAAGGCAAAACTGAAGATGACAAATTTGTAATGTAAAATTTAAGATACARGAAAGGTGAAAGATTAATTCAATAATCTGCCCACACTTAATTAGAAACTAGGATGCTATGGTGAGTACTGCAAATTTTTCYGATGCCACTTGGATGCTTTGCCAATAAATAATCTCACAGAGCCAAAATAAATCACTGTTACACTGACCCCTCATCTCCGATCGAAATCGTTCTATTTACCCTGGAGACACATACCTATGAAAAATTTAGAAGGTCATCAATCATGGTCTCTCTCTGCAATGTTTATAAGGTTGTATCTTTGGATAAGAACATTTCCAGTCTTCTTGTCATGATTGAAATCAGATCTGAGGGCTGGTATATGTTCAGACAGGATCACTGTGCTCAGGTACACAGCATCTCATCCCTAATTTTTGAACTCATATAAAATAACTGTTCTGGGGCTGTCTGTGTTGTTTGAATCTCCCTGGTGAAGTGATGAAAAGAGATCTCAGAAGAAGAATTAGGCTCTAGGTTTAAACATACAATATGCAAATGTATAGCACAAGGCCACTGAAGAACAATGCCAGACGCATTCATTTCATGTCAAGTGCTCTGAAATCATGCATCCTCAAGAAACTCCCATCTTTATTCTGCACAAAATCTTGCACAGRCACATGTAATTTGCTGTTTTCCCATCACACATTAGCTGTTTGTTAATGGTTCAAGGATTATTAGGTAACAGTACAGCAGCCAATGTGAYTTACCATTTAACTATCAGACTTTTTACTGGAAACCAAAACATCATCATAAAATTCAAATAAACATTTCACAAGGATCCTCACACAGGAGGTATCACATCAAGCCTACTGAAAGCCCAATTCTCTGAGGTGTGTTTCACAGGCAATTGCTTCCCAAATAGTTTTCCATTAGAGCTGAGATTCAAGCCACAACAGACACTTCCGTCCAGTTCCTATCCTTGATTAAGGAAATCTCTGGATAAGGACTCTGAAGGCACCTTTCTCTGTCACTTGCACAGGAAATGTCAACCCTTATTAGGGTTATTTTGGGTCTAATGATCTCTTGTTTCACTGACAAATCTTCACGCTGGTTGTTACAAATCACATGGTCTGACTGTAACAGAAGGGTGGGGTCTGTGCCTGAGCATGGATGGAGAAGGAATATTCACCACAGAGAAGGAATATTCATCTTGTACCTGCCTTTGAGCTCACATGTTTATTCAYAAGGTTACTCATAGGCATGAAGCTGCTAACATCATAAGTCTAAGGCAGAGGTAGTTTTGGTGAAACAGTGGGGTTTTTTTGCACACAAAGGGCATTTTATCATGCTCTAGTGCATCCCCAGGACTGATCTGGCAGCACAAAGGTAGAAACTTCAGCTTGCTTAGTTATTTGAGCCTTCTACCTCCTTTCCACATGGAAAAAAATGCCCTCTGAAAATCAGCTTTGCTCATTAGCCATGAAATCTGCACACTTTCTGAAAAGTTCATSGTGCAACATCTGGGTATTGCAGGTCAGAGAAAGATTAAACAGCCAATTTATTTTAAAAATGAGAAAGAGAGCTTGATCTATTAGTCGGTTTTTCACTTCCACATAAACTATTAGATATGTCTAAGATAAGGTACTTGAATTCATTAAAGCCTCTGAAGACTAGGAAGGACCACTTTTAAATGTTTCTTCTCTTGCTCTCTCAAAAAAATAAAATTCCTGTAATTTCAGGAAYAGGTCAAGTTATGATTACATCCATTTTGGTAAAATGTTGAATTAGAGAATTAGAACAAATATGTTTTTCAATTCAAACTTATGATTTCCATGGACTCCCAGGTGAGARAAATTGACTTCATAGGAAGTTGGGAATTCTCAGGATTTCTGAGARACATGGGATTCAGGAACATTTGAAGGACTGGCAATCCTGGTTTGATATATCTGACCTGTGTCCTGTTGTCCCTGCAGTAAACAAAAAACAAGGTTTAATGAAAAAAATAACACAAGAAAACAATTTTTCTTCAAGAGGCTTCAAAGTCCACACATCAAAGGGAATGCTGCAAAGCTGCAGCATGAAAATATGATGGTTTGGGTTCCCAGAGCTGCAAAAAACATTGTAGATTTGTGCCAGCTTGTTGATAGTCAGAATGAGGAGCATTCTCACCACCCATGCTCAAGGTCTCAACAGAGGGGCCCAGTGCAGGTGCTTGGGCTGCATGAAGTGCCTTGCTGGGCTTCTCCAAACCATTCTTTTTCTCARCCACACTCTCAAGGAGCCCTTTTGATCAGAGTGATCCTCAGCTCACCGGGTCACAATCTTTCTTGTTTAAGTGCCGTCTTATAGACGAAGTGTAGAACCTGGTGTTCATGCCTGACTGAGTTCTGGGGAATACTTTGGGTTATGAGAAGCATTTCTGGTTAACAGGGAGACCTGATATTAATCATGCATTTATTTAGGCAAAGCTCTGGGTACCCCTTGGATCCACAATTACATGCCAAAGAACAGTCCTTAGAGAGGAAGTTTCCCACTGTAAGCCTAAGGGCACCATCCTGGAGCAAGCAGAGTGATGGTACCAAGGAGCTCCTGAGCATTCCGTTCTTTATCAAAAGAAACATTGYTAACTCCTGCTAAACTCTGCACAGACTGCCAAATTTAGGCTGATAACACGGAGGCTGTGGGACTGACAAGGTTAACCGAGAAGTTAACTGTGCAGCTGACCTTGGAGAGGTAAGATAGAGCAACTGTGAAACAGATAATAACCTGACCAGTTACCTGAGCTGAATGCCAGCAGTAGCACAAAGCTGTTACAGGGGAAGGATGCAGGCAGGGATGTGCTGCAAGAGACACTGGCTCATTTCCAGTACGGGTGTTCGCCTGGTGCTCGGCGGCAGCAGCCCCTCTGCACACACACCACACCATACCTGGAGTGTCTGTCCCCCCAAACGCGGCACCCACCCGGTGTGGCCTTCCTCAGCTTCGCGCATCCCTCATTTCTGGTCCCGGTGGGCTGGGGCTGCCTGAGCAGCGGCACGGGGCAGACAGACCCGGGGAAGGAACTGGCCCAGGCACGGGAGGCTGCCCCTCGATCGGGCGGTCGGGGCTCTCTTCCCGCTGCTCCCCGGCCCCGTCCCGCTGCTCTCCCTGCCGGCGGTATCGCTCGCAGCGGAGAGCATCTCTCCCTGCCCTGGGGGAGCGGGGCGGGGTGGCAGAAGTGAAAAGCGGCATCTGCACCTTTACATCCTCACCCTCATCCCGCACCCACATCACATCCTCACCCCGGTCCGCAGCCAGACGGGACGCGGACGGTGCGGGGCGGCCCCGAGGGCGCGGGGCTCCGGCGGGAGGGAGCAGCCGGGGGATCCGCCCGCACTGCCTGCCCCGGGCAGAGCCGGGAGGCACCGCGGGAGAGGGAGAGGGGGGCGGGGGCTGTCACCGGGGCGGGGGCTGTCACGGGGCTGGGACCATAAAACCGGGGGTAATTGCATTTAGGCAAATGAGGCTGCCTCGGCCCTCCCCGTCTGCAGGTATATAAAGCGGGAAGCGCTCGCACGGCCGGCCAATGCGCTCGGAGAGCAGCGCCCGCCCTCCCGCTGCAGACGGTGCGTGCGCTGCGGGAGCCCGGCCGGCCGTGCCCGTGTGCGAGGGGTCCGCTTGTCCTGAGGCTGTGAGGGGGTGTCCGTGTGAACTTCTCTGTCCGGGTCTATATGTGTGTGCGTCTGCGGGGGGTGCCTATCCGCTCTTGTGTGTCCGTACGTGCGCACCTGTGGATGTGCCAGCGTGTTTTTGTGCGTGTCTGGATGTGCGAAGGGGTGAGTGTGCACCGCTGGACAGATGTGTCTCTGTGTTTGCSGGTGTGTGGAGAGCTGCATCCCTAGGTGGGTGTGAGCATTTAAGATGTCTAGCTCTTYGTGTGAGTTTATAAGTAGAGGCATGCCTACCTGGATGTGTGTATGAGGGAGATGGGTATATTCGGGAAGGTGTGGATACCTGGATGTCCATAGACGTGTGAGGGTTTGTTTCTGTCTCCCCAGCATGTCCGTGTGGAGGGTGTCGCTGGCTCTGTGTGTGTGTCCTGTGTGCACACCGGGCTGCTTGCCGGTCTGATGTGTGGGGTGTGAGTCCATCCAGACGCGTCCGCAGCAGTCGGGGCAGGGGTGCCGGTGCGACTCGGCGCTCTGGGGCGATACCTGCGGGGCAGTGCGTGCCCAGGTGTGCCCTGGGGAGCTGCGTGTGAGTTTGTGTGTGTGCGAGTGTGTGCGGGGCTGTGCGCGTACCCCCAGGGCTCCAACCTCCGTCCCCGCAGGACGTCGAGGCGGCGATGAGGCTCCCGCTGGCTCTCGCCGTGCTCCTCCTGGCCTCGGCGCAGGCGTTGGGCGAGGAGATGGGAACCACCGACGATCTCAGCTACTGGTCCGACTGGTCCGACGGTGACCAGGCGAAGGTGAGCCCCGGCGGCCCCGCGGGGTGCGGGAGCGAGGGGTTCGGTGCCCGGGGYTCGGTGCCGGAGTGCGGGGTCTGCACTGAGCGCCGGCCGCTGTCGCCCCGCAGGAGGAGCTGCCGCTGCCCCTGGAGCATTTCCTGCAGAGGATGGCCCGGAGACCCCGGCCCCAGCAGTTCTTCGGCCTCATGGGCAAGAGGGATGCCGGTGAGCGGGGCACGGGGCTGGATGCTGCTCACGCCTCTCCGCACGCTTCTTCTCCCAGTGCCTGCCCAAACTTTACACGGTTATCGCTCGGGTTTAATGTATTATGCCTTTTTCATAAACTGCCATGAGGATTACTTGGGTTTAGGCTTTTTTTGTTTGATTGTTTAACTCAGGTTTTATACAAGATAAACTCACCAACTAGAAAATAGAGGACCCGAAAGTCTTAAGTGTACACCAATTACAGCATGTAAATCCCAGTAAGGGATAGCATGATAATTCATAGGTCAGCATAAATGCCATTGTATCACCCAAGTTTGGAAACTGGTTGAGATTAAAATTATTGCTGTTTTCTACATATTTATTGAACCAAGAATTGATCGAAGAAATGGGAGCTAAACTAATCTAAATTGTGTGGGTTTAGCTAGAACAAGTCTTTGTAGTCTCTTCAAAGGGAAATGCAGTTGTAAACCATCACCTTAATTTCCCTTAAGTGGAATACGGGTAGAYTAGTTTTTGTATTCAATTCTTCAAAGCATTGCAGTAGCATCATACGTATATGCCAGTCCTTTTGTAACAACTCTTTATTTCTSTTTTTTTCTCTTTCCATTCCTCTTCTAATCAGGATATGGCCCGATCTCTCACAAAAGTAAGTTGAAAAATTACAAATATTTAAAGTAATCATTAGAAGATATTCAGATAGAGAACAGTGTATTTGACAGGATTAGTTAGAAGGTGGCTGGTTTCAGCTAGGGATTGGCAGCAGCACTGGTGGAGGAATGATCTGTTCAAGGATTGAAACCTCCCCCCTAGTGCCACTGTGAGCCTGGATCTCATCTGAGCTGCCGCAAGCTTTGAGATTTCAATCCATATTAATATGCGGATGTTGCAGCTCTCTCTTATTTCCCAGGGGGGRATTTTGTAAGCCTCTCTCACTGGCAAGGCAGGCTTGCTGCCAGGCTCAGAGAGGAGCAATTAAGATGGCAAAATCTGGAAAATTAGAATAATGAATTCCCAAATCCCCAAGAATGCTTTCATGGGAGGGCCCGTGTCCTCACACGAGAGATTCTGTGCTCACAGCATTGTCTGGCTGCAAATCAGACCCCTGCTCACAGTAGGGGCTGATTGATGATGTGCTGCCTTATGAAGAGCCATGTTTTGCCCCATTATTAAGTGTGCCTTGCTCTGCTTCTGCGTAGCACCAAGCAGGAGATGCTAACAACACCTGTGRTGTTACCTTGCTCTGCACAATGGTAGTTTTATTTCATGAAATTATCCAAAGACCTTTAAAGAGAGACAGGGAGATTTTTTAATAAGTAAAAATTATTGTATATTCTGTGAAACCTCCTGTCTCTGCAGAGGTCAACAACTGCCCCTGTGTTCTGTTTTCCACATGATGCTTTCAGTAGCATTATGCACTGGAAGACCAAATAAAGAGTCTGATACAAATCTCATGCCAAATAACCTTCTGACTAAAGTAAAAAATTATAGTTTTCTGAAACTGCTTCAGCTTGAATTAATGTGAGGTCTGAGGATCTTACTTTGTATATGAATTAGCCAAGTAAAATTCTTTCCAAAGAGAAACTTGTAAGTGTGTCTCAAAAGCCAATTTAGATAAAGAAGAATAGTTCATTTTCATTCCTCCTCTGAAACTATAGCTACTGCTATAACCTGATAAGTACTGTAGGCCAAAACTTGGAGTAATTTATCCTCTACTCCTCCAGTGTCTTGAGAAGTACTAATGGGACAGGGAGGTAATATCTGAACTTATAAATATTCCAAAAATAGAGCCAGACTGTCTAGCTCAGACGTGTCCAGACAGAGAGTCCCATTGGCTTYCTCTCCAGCAAGGGCTCCACCTGACCTGCGAGGGAGCATTTTCTTCCATCTTACAGAAATGAAACAACAACGGGTAGAAGAGATGCATCACACAGATGCAGGCTATACCAAGACACTGCCTTCTTGTGCATTTGCTCACATCARTAGGAATTGTACTGGGAGAGAAATAAGAATCTGTTAGTGGCCGCTGTTTTTCCATTATACTTAAAAAACCTGAAGACCCAAAACAAGAAGTCTGTCTAAGCTGATGAGGTGTCCACTAACTGGCCTGTGCCTTGGTCTATCCTGTTTGATCTGATTAGTCAGATTGATGTTCATTTTCTGTTTTCTGAGAGTGATGTGAACAACGGGTCTGTGACATAAACAGTTTTGGAGCCTGTCTTCCTTTCTTGCAAGAACCTGTTATTTTAAAAGCCTGACTAGTTAAAATGTATTAAAACACCCCTAAATATATTTTTTCAGGGCATAAAACAGACTCCTTTGTTGGACTTATGGGCAAAAGATCTTTAAATTCTGGTATGTATTTGATGAAATCTGGTACTTGGTGATWTACAGCCTCTTCATTCCGTTGCCTCTTTGTTCTCTCCCAGCGGATGGAAGAAGCAGTTTTTATGAAGGGTAGACCCAGAGCTCTCTGARAAAGAATTAGGATTTTCTTTGTCACCCAAGATATTTCAGGGTTTGCTTCACTCCAATGCTTGAGATAACCAGACTKGTCTGAGCTGCAGGCAAGCTCAGGTAGAATTCCCCACGTTCATTACTGCCCTTTGCTGCACCTCAAATGCTAATACAAGAAAAAACCCTAAATTTTACTGATATCCCAAGAAAAATTCAGAGGCTGAAAATGCAAAGCTCATTTAAACTTGTGGTCTAAATCCAGGTCTCATCAGCTGAAGGGATACCTTCAGTATATCTGGAGGTCATTGTTCCTAATACTGGGAGTGGAAGGTGAAAGAACAGAGCTTTGCCATGAACACCACCTCATTCTGCAGATCAGGCTTTCAAAYATTCACAGCCTCTCCCAACTTTTCACTTCACCTAAAGCATTTTAAACTCTGAATGAATACCTTGAATTTGTGTTATTTTGCTATAGCATCCACACCGGGCAGAATTCTCCTCTCCCCTGGTGCACAAAACCCCTGTGGGAAACTCCCCATAGCTCTGCCTCCCCTGTGCTCTAGGGCTGCACTGAGGAGATCCCTCACTGTGAACCATAAAGTATCGGTTGTTTCTCCAGCATGGGAACTAAAAAAATGAAAAACCTAACACGTCTCTGAAAYAGTTGCCACTGTTTCGTTAAATGGATGATAAAAGTTAAATTACTAGCTGACACCTTTATATTATGTGGATACATGCTGTGATCTATATTCTGCAATTATGGTTGTCAGTAACTTTTATTTTCAATTAAACACCCTTCAAGACTAGTAATATTGCTCTCTGCATTATTTTGCAAATTGCTATGTATCATGAATAATTTTGTACAATTTTATCCGTGGCAGCAATAGCTATTAAATGCATAATACCTGTAAATATATCTGCTATCACAAAAGTAAATAGCCTGTAAGTAATAAATTGGGTTTGGTTTCCACTGGGAYTACATTTACATTAATATGAGAATGTAAAATACAGAAAATGTTTTTAAAAAATGTGAAGATTTTATTGCCCTAATTTCAAAATTGCTGTTATAGTCAGGATACTGTTATGTGGTATTTCKAACAAAAGGGAATAATGATGTTTTACTTTGCTGGGCTATGTAATACCTGTCTGACAGGTAAAACTAGAATTCACAGCTTTTCTGCCTGATTCCTTGAGGAGGAAATGGTAAGAAGTTGCTTCTGCTCTGCTGAAGAAGAAGATAGGTCCTAAGGACTGTGTAATCAAAGYGAGATCAGGAATAATGAGTGTTAGGATTACCCTTCTCCCTGCTGGAAGATACTAAACTGGAGASGACCTTTACCCCATGCTGTTGTTTTCTTGTGCAAAAAGCCCCTGAGCACGAGGAGTTCACGCTGTCCCTCTGGGTGTGAGCCTGTTGCTGATTTAAAGCCTCACATGCCAAGGCATGGRGTGCTGATGTTTCAGTCCCTGGTCTGGGGACAGCCGTGCCCAAGAAGGGCTCTCTGAGTTTTGCTCTCATTTTAAAAGAGCAAGAAGGAGAGATCTACCACTACCAAACATCAAATATGTTACTAAAGACTATTTTAGCCTGCAACTAGTGCACATGGTTGTCTGAGTACATCTGAGGRGCTTGGCTCCTGCCTCAATGTTTAGTTGAAGTTATCCCTGTGTGCAGGGCTTGTGGACAGGGAGGGTTCAACCTGGCAAGGAGCTGATGGCAGGAATGAAGGTGGATATGTCTGTCCAGGAGGCCTCTACCACAAACTGACCTGATTGCTCAGATCCCATCAGTTACCTGAATTACTCGGAGGGAAAGGGACTCTGTGTAAATGGGGCTTCAAGCAGCTCTGCAGATGAGAGGTTGAAAACACTGTTCAGACCTTCAGCCTCCTGGAGGTCAGCGTAGTCTGAGAGGTAAAACCAAATCAAAGCAGCTCAGGGCTGGGCCAGGAGCCCTCATCTCTGTTCCAAACACATCACTGGGGTCTGGTGATGCCCCAGCTGGCTGCAGTCKCTGACACTTCTCATTCTTGCTGGGGTTTAAGCCAGGCTGTACCTTTGCTTCAATCTCCTTTATTTTTTGCAGGGTCCTCTGAAGGGAGCATAGCACAGAACTACGAACGGAGGCGTAAATGAGACATTCCCGTGCATTATTTATTAAACTTCATTTGTTCTAATGGCCAATGCAGTGTAATATAAACTAACCACTGTATGAATTAATTATTTATTTAATAATTGAAGGGGGTTGGTTTTTTTTTTTTTTTTTTAGTTGTACATTCAATAAAGCTATTATTTTTCATATCGTGGCAGTGACACGTGTTGTGTAGGTGTGTTGTGGTTCTGAAAGGACCAGCAACCCTGGTGATGTCTCACAACAAAGCACATTGTTTGATATGACCCGTGAAGTTATGTTTACTGAAGAAGCAAGTATTCTTTTGTTCATTGAAAGCGAGTCTATCAGCTTCACAGCTAGTGCAGAACAGAACTGATGTTCAGTCTAGTGCCTCAATTTGTTTTCATGGTTTATAATGTACTGTAATTTCTGTATCAAAAAATATATTTGTATCACTGCAGCATGTTTTATGTTCTGTGATTATGTATCTGTATCTTTTGAAAAGGGGGATGAGTAATGTTTGAATGGGAATCCAAGGTCTTAATTTCATAGTCTGGAATTTTATGATAGTAACATTTTAAATAAAAACTACTCTGGGGCTTTTGCAACATACTTCCTTTGGTGATAGTGATGGAGTTATTTCCCACGCTGGTCTGGAATGAGATTTGGATCCAAGCAACAGTGGTCTGAGACTGTAGGAAAGTATCAGATTAATGATTTCCTTTTGCAGAGAGGCTGTAAGYCTCCTCGGGTGTTTGGTGAATGTTTGAGGGATTTGTTGCTGAAGGTAGGAGTTCCTGGGATTGCTCCAGGTCACACAAGGTGCTGTTCATTCTAAACCCAATGGAAATCATGGAATGTATTGACTGAATGGAAAGGGCATGATGGATCCCCGTGCTCCAAGGGGAATAATTTGCTGTGGAATTAATCCAATATTGTAGGTTGATTATTCGAAAGCCAAGCTCTTAATAAATTYTGTCCCTCAGATTTACAATAAAAGTACCTGTTGGCATGAATCCACGCAATATAACAGAAAAAAATAAATGTGACTAATTATCTTTTTAATTAAAATGTCTGGTGACAGTATATCCAGGATAGTCCTGAAATGCTACATACATCTCACCAGCTGCCAAGAAGATGGAGCTCTATCTCTTTTTCCCCCACTACAAGCCATACTTCTCTGATGCTATGATGCAAGCTTTCACTGCAGATAAATCACCAGTGGAAACAGTCAAAGTATACAAACTAAATGTAAAAATAAGTTGTTTTTTTCTATTTTGGAAGTGAACTCATAAAYCTCCATTTTCAAGGTTATCTGAGGCAGCATCACAGCCACCCCCATCAGAGCGGGTAGGTGCAAGCCCTTGCTCCTGCTGGGTCAGAAACAGTGCCTAAGCCTGCCCGTGCTTAAAACAGATTCCACTTGCAGCTAGGGAGGAGCCAGATCCAGCAAGGTGGGGGAAACTGAGGCTGATTTGTGGCAGGGACCAGACTCATGTGAGACACAGTGTTTGTACTGGCACTCTGGCAGCTCTTTGTCTTGCCAGGGCTAATTTTCAGCCTAATAAACTTCTCTATGAGCTCCCACTGAGCTCAGTGAGAAGGGGAAGCTGACTGCAGGGCTAGCAGAACAGCTAAAGGACTGTGGAAATCATGTTGAGTAATGCTCAGTGAAGGGTAAAAAGAAAGAAAAAAAGCTTTAAAATGCTGTTTCCCTTGTCTGGAGGTCCCTGGTGCTCACAGAGATCATGGTCCATGTGTGCTGAATTGCGAGACATAGAGAGGAAAGCAAAAGCCTCACCATTCACTCCCTTCAGCCTGCACATCTCAAAAGCCTCCCTGCTGTAGAATAAACCACTGCAAARCCCACAAACAGACAGTGGGCTTTATGTATTTGAAAGAAAACACAGGTACTAAATAACAACATCCAGTAAACAGGACTGAATTTTCTGGAAAAAAAAAACATAGAAGGATTTGGGTTGGAAGGCACCTTTAGTGCCATCTAGTCCAACTCCATGCCATGGACAGGGACACCTTCCACTAGACCAGGTTGCTCAGAGCCCCAACCAAATTGACACTGAACACTCCCAGGGATGGAGCACCCACAACTTCTCTGGGCAACCYGTTGCAAAGTCTCACCACCCTCATTGCAAGGAATTCCTTCCTTAAAACCAGCCCAAGTCTACCCTCTTTCGATTCAAATATCTGATCATCTTCATGCCCCTCCTCTGGACTCACTCCAACAGGTCTTTCCTGTGCTGGGGACCCCAGAGCTGGATGTTCCAGGTGGGGTCTCACCAAGCAGAGCAGAAGGACAGAATCACCTCCCTCTCCGTGCTGCCCACACTGCTTTGGATTCAGCCCAAGATGAGCTTGTCTTTCTGGGTTGTGAGCTGCTTCATGCTGAGTCTCTCATCCACAAAGAGCCCCAGGTCCTTTTCCTCCGGACTGTTCTCCACCCATTCTCTGCCCAGCCTGTATTTGTTCTTGGGATTGCCCTGACCCAGCTGTGGGACCCTACACTTGGCCTTGCTGAATGTCGTGACATTCACATGGGCTCACTCCTGGCACCTGTCAAAGTCCCTCTGGATGGCATCCCTTCCCTCAAGCATGTCAATGGTATGACCACCATTTACTCTAGAAAGAAAGGCTGAGCCTCTGTCATCAAAATAGTCTCCTTTCATATGTCAGTCTGCTGAGCGGTTTTAATCTGGCATTTGAAACAAAYAATTTTAATTCTTGGTGGCAAAATAATGTCAGAATTGTGCTAATTTGGGTTTTGAACGATAACTTTTAAATTGCCATTGATTTTTATGTTTGTACATACATATATTCCAAGCTGGAAATAAAGCAAACACGCCAAGAGGCATAATCTGAATTGCTCCAACTGACTCTACCAACAATAGAAAAAAGAATCCTCCTTACATWTCAGTGCTGGCACGAGAAAAGAATCCTGCTCACATTTCAGCTGGCAGGGATGGCTCAGCCAGGCTGTGCCACGTCAGTGCCTGCCCAGATGTGGAGGTGCATAAATCCCACACATCTGCAGGCATCCAGCCCAGCTGCCTGTCCCTACTGCAGACTCACTCCCAACACCTCTCCACAACAACATTTGCCCTCACAGATATCCTGGGATCCTGAACACTCACAGAGGAATTGTTATGTCTTTTATCTGCCTTTCGTCTCAAGCAATATAGTCTATAGACTATTGAGTATTTCAAGGAGAGTTTTTAATAATTTTTGCTGTCTTTAATGTCCCTTTCAGGAGTTTTAAACACTTTCATGTGTTGGACAGCATTGCTTGCAGCCCCAGGCCTCTCGTGCCATGGATTGTGGGCAGTGCCTGCTCTCCAGCTCCACTGCAGACTTTGGAGAGGCTTTCCCTAAATTCCTGACTGTCTCCAGAGCAGCCAGCCACAACTGTGACACAGACTGAGCTCYTTTTGGTGGCAACAGTCTGACATCCACCAGGCTGCATAAGCTAATCAATAACACTGCAGCAAGGGCATCTATCAGCAAAATGCAGGCGAGATTTAAATAAAGCAATAAAAATCTTTCTAGGAAATCAGCTTAGAGAGCAAACCCAGAGTAATGCAGGTAATTGTCCCCACTGGGGAGGCTGCAGGCAGTTTGACATCACAGCCCACCTCCAACATGCTCAGCATCCTTTTTGCTTCTGTTTCCCCCAGAAATACATCAATCACCTGCATTGTGACATGCAGCTGCTCTTCACYGTCTCCCTTACACACAGACATTCCCCTCCACCCAGGCAGGAGTGATGAAGTGAAGCTCTCAGAAGCCTCTCTTGCCCAGGAGAGACACAGAGGACCAACAGCCCTWTCCTTCAGCTCCATCTCTCTGTCATTTTATGGATACTTGCTGTCCATGGTGCAGATGCAGCCAAACTGACCCTGGCAAGCCAAAGCCAGAGCCACTGCCCATGAACTGGGGAGCTGGGAGGAGGGTCTGCCCCCCGACACCTCACTTGACTTGGGGAGCTCAGGCTCTGCAGCACTTGCCTAGCTCTGAAACCACAAGCAAGTCTTTGCTGTATTCATGTCAGAAGACTGGTATTTTTCGACATGATCCTAACCAAGAGAAAAGGAAGGATCTGGAAAGGTCTGGGCATAGGGATCTTGCAGGAACCCAGCTCCTAGCCATCATGAGCTAGGGCAGAATAACATCAAGAGGTTTTTTTTGTAAATTATTGATGTAATTCTTTATAATGCTGTTTATTCAGAATATGCCAGTAACAGCTCTTTCAGAGCTAGCACAAGCCATTTTTTAAATGCAAACTCTCTTAAATGATGGCTAACTGCTTCAGCATTAAGACATACCAGTGCAAACTTCAGTAATGACCAAAATCTCTACTAATGACAGCAATTCCCTTAGCCATAATATTACACACTGCACTGACAAATGTCTCACAGAGTGACAGGATAAGAGCACACAGTGGTTCCTTCCCCACAACTGTACTGTGTCGGGATGCAGCCACCTGCAGTTCTGGATACAGACCCATGTCCTCATGTTATCTTCAAAAGACCTTGCTTCCCTTCATAGAAAATACTTGTTCACTGGAAGAGTAGTGATTTTTAAAATTTTTGGTTTTGCTAGCAAGTGAGCAAATATCCTTGAACCTACAGCTTTCAGGGAAGAAAAGCTCTGTACATTATTCTTTTAATATTTTTGATAGAGACTGAAACATTTGTCAGCTGGAGCGGCTGTGTGAAATTCATCACAATATTCATCAAAAATTATCACTGCTCCATCCCTGACAGATATTTGATGTCAGAATAACCCAGCTCAGAAACTTTTTTCTAAAGAGAAGTACACAGCGTGCAAAAAACATCAGCTTTTGCTTTCTACATCCATCTCYAAATTAAACAACATTTCCACTTACTGCATATGGAAGAAATGAAATGTGAACAGACTGTTAGACAACAAAACTCTTCATCTGTCACGGTGCTTCACGCTTTCCCAGAAGCACGGAGGGAGGAAGCCCAGCAAGGTGAGGTGACTTGGCTGAGCTGGAAACGCAATGCACACCGTGTACATAACCAGCCACTTCTCAAGGTGCTACCTAAGTGCAAGGAAACTTCACCAATTATAATGTTAGATGCTGAGAAAAATATTTGGAGAAGAAAAAGTTGTTTTTCTGGTTTTTTTTTTCTATCTAAACCATTTTTTGCRYTGTTATTTCAGCTAMAAGAAAGTTAAAGGATACAGCTGCRCCAYCTTATYATAAAAGCATTTAAGTTGSAAAARACCCTTAAGATTGTCAAGTCCAAYTATATGTTAACAATGGAGAYATCACCCAAAGGGCAAGAGAAGGTGGAGCTGTGTGAAGCAGGTAAAGAGCTGCATAAATTCATGTCTTATATTCTCAATCAGAGCGCCTCAGAGCCAATGCATGCTAATATGCCTTCAACACTTTATTTTCATGAGCTAGTTAGCATTGAAAACAACTAGTTCAGTAACAGAGCACCTTTAATCACAGATATTAAATTTTGGCACATAGAAATGCTTTAATTTTCACTGTTACAACACTCAGACAGCAATAGCCACATTGTGTTTCTGTGTACCAAAGCATTAAAATTCAAGCAAAACCCTCTGGAAGCAAACCTCGCTTGGAGAAGATACACAATAATTATTGAAGGACTATATACATATGTAGTTACTCTAAGACTGCATTTTAAAAAAATGCAGTAAATCAGTGGATTTTAAAACTGTGAATTTTTATAATACCCAGAAGACATCCTAGCTGTTTTGTGAGACTTGTCATTTACAGCTTGGATTCCCACAGTGCCAGCTCACCCCGAGCAAAGCCTGCCRTGTGCAGGTGTGAGTGAGACCAGCCCAGAGCACCACAAACCTGAAAACTGTGCATAGCCACAAGGCAGCACTCCAGAGCAGTTCCTTGAAATACAGCAYAAGGGATTCTGGTGTCTGCAGATAGCAACCTGTTTATCCACAGCACATCTTCCCCACACTTCCTTACCAGC